CTACATCTACACGCCATACTTATATCTGTGCAGCCTATCCTATACATATAAATCTCATGTGGACATTTTAAGACACAATACTACATTTTGGACTTAATGAAGCCACCGATATTGCCAATAAGTTATCTCTGTGTTAATAATGGTGAGTATGTCATCCCAATCCTTTACATACAGATATATACCAAAATACCAATACAGTAAAAACCCTAAATAACGCCCCTCGTAGACCATGGTTCTAATTATCTTATAACTATTTAATGCCGTTGTTGCTGACTAATTGAAGCAGTATAACATGGTTCTACTGTATACTCATACTCTACATCATTTATTCATAATTGATGCTGTATTATGATACTGATCATGACCTCACTGCTAAACCAACGACATGTTAACATTATACAGTGTATCCTTAATAACAGCAATATAATGTATTGGCCTTTAATATGACAACTTTACAAAGTAGTGTGAAACAGCACTTGATCGGAATCATCTTTATAACAACACCCAATATATCAGTAACTCTGTGAAACCAAGCGAAAGTGTTCTGATATATAAATACTTCGTTTCCTTACCTCTCCTGTGTCCACATTGTGAAATTCTACCTTTTATAGGTCATGTAAGTATACCTGTTACAAGGATATAACAGAACTAATTAACTGCTGTTTGAAATTCAACCTAATGCTGTTCACCAACAGTATGGATAATTTTATAGTCTATGAATGGTATTGCACACTGGAACAGGCATGAATTTCTAATACAGATTGAGCATTGGTGATGTATCTGGTTGTCCTCGGCACTCGGGACCTACACTGTTCAGTTCTAGACAATACCATGCCAAAAGTGATATTTGTACTGACAATAAGGATTTTACTCTGGTTGACATTTATTGGAACAAATGAAACAATGTTCTTCCCCATAGTGACAAAAGCAACAGTTCCACTACATGAATAAGTCATCAAATAGTTTTTCCTAATTTTTACAATAATCAAGTTTACTTATAAATTGTCATGGTGAACTTTTACTGTTTCTGATGGCAAACATGGTTCTTGCTGAATATAATGGTCCTATAGGGAGAATTTTTGTTTAGCTAATCAAGCATTCAAGGTTTGACTCCTAGCAGAGGATATGAAAAAATAATGACCTCTGTTACATTGGTGCTAATGACAATAGGGTCTCAGGAAACATTGACAAAATTACCCAGCAATACTTAAACAACGATTGCTATAGCCACTGGAAAACTCGGGACAAGTTCTTTCCTAGAGGGGGAGCTCGATGTCACCCTGGTCAAATACTAGCCCTTTCTACAGACCTGACTAGGGAGAATTACCCTTTAGCTAATTCAGTAGAACGCACGACTAGAAAACCAGAGGTCCTGGGTTCGACTCTTAGCAGAGGCTTTCACAAAATAAAGACCTCTATTACACTAAAATAGAAGATTTTATTCTGTTGAAAAATGAAAATACCCTTTAAATATCAAATGATAACAACTGTTTATACCATCTATTGTATTGAGGCAAACTAAAAACCTGTTTGTTTCCTGTTACATGTCTGAAAAAATAAGGGTGGCTATAGGTAGGTAATTAATTGTATCTTTTCATTTTTTGAAAATGTATATAAAGGAAGGTAATCTTTACTTTAACAGTGCTTCCTTGAAAATTGCCAAAAAAAGTTTAGGGTAAAGTTTAGGATATTTACAAAAACTTAGGGTAGTTAGCTATACATGGAAAACTTAAACAAATGATATTTTTTACTGGGACTGATTTATGCAGAGTTTAGTCACAAATGTTCCTAACAAAAGGTCAATACCAAGGTCACACAAGATGGTCAAAAAGGATCATGATAAGGCATACTTTTAATTTTTCGTTTAGTCATACACATTGTACTTCAAAGAATAGTTCGGTGCATAGAAACAAAGGCCAGGTAAGCTAAAAAAAACTATCTATTTTGTTGGTGATACATATACCTGTACAGACAAATCCTTTTAAAGTACAATGTTACTTATACTGGTAGTCTACATGTAAGTAATGTGGGCATCATTATATTGTAGGTACATGTCATATCAGATTACGACAATAAGGTCACATGTCTGACACTATTGTACAGGTCTATACCACTCACTCTGAAGTAACAGGTTATCTTTTATTTTGAAAAAGACGCCTTACAAGTGATGAATGCTGGGGGAAAAAATAGGCACAAATTTCTTTTATTGTTCGTAAGAAATAAAATGTCTTATATTTTTGATAATTATGCATGTGCATTGAACTTGAGAGTACAAGCAGTTTATAGAATTTACCGAATAGACTTAGTACCAACAGGCAAAACAGTTTTCTGTTCACAATATTTGATGAAATCTACAGGAAATGCTATATACTGAAGCAGGGTGAAATAATTACAGTGTAGTATATATATATATATATATATATATGTACACTATATATATATGTATACCCACACTATATATATATGTATAGTGTGGGTATTGAGGATCAAATAATTTTACATTAAAATGAAATGAAAGATGTCAGAATATCACGACTAAGAAAAAGGTATCAAATCTAGACATGTACAGCAACATTTAGAGTCAATATGGAATGTGTACATCTATCTTTGCCTTATGCAAATTAGGGTAGTGCTGGTATCTTTTCATTGTTGTTGTATGCAAATTGAAGGTTATACACTGCACTGATGCACTGAAACATTTAAAGTTATAAAGAATTGAAGTGAATCAAGCACCGAGCGGTATCTATGTTCCAGGCTACAGGTAAAACCATTTGGGTGAAGATGAGACCATTACAACATCTACAAAGAACTGACTATCTGGATTCCAAATATACACAATAACCACTAAATGTAAAAAGACTGTTATTGGTGTGTGAAGATGACAGGTACACTCAAAATCAAATAACATTACTTTTTTCGGTCCCACTACAAACATCTCCAGCACACACGCAGGCATACACATTACACACATATGGAAATATTAGCCAGGTGACATAGGACTAGTGGTTAGCGCCTGTTAAGGCAGCTCCTGCGAATTCCTCAAAAATTGTATTGATTAATGAATGCGCTAATTGTATTAACTGATGATCTATGTTTTGTAAAGCGCTTTGAGTGGCTTATGTTAGCTAGATAGGGCACTATATCAAATGTTGTATATTATTATAACATGACAATGACAGCAGAGAAATGTTGTACTTTATAGTAATTACTTTATACTGGACAATTTTTCCCCCGGAGAATATTTCCCCTTCCTAATAAAGGTGCCAGGCATTATTGACTAAATGATTAGCAGTAGGCGCCTTTATTTAGACACTGTTTTCCTCCACCAACTCCCCTCTTATTTGGAACATTTGTCCATTGTAGTGAGATATAAAGAACCCACTCTAAAGTAATTTTCCTATTTCCCCCATTAATAAAGTGGTATACATCATTCCAGCAAGTTTCATCTGTCATTTTATCAGCAGATAATATTCCCTGGGCACTTTGATTTTCATTACTGATCTACTTTAAATTAGCAACATTTTGGTGAAAGCAGTTGTCTATTAAAAACCATTCGGATGACTTCTGAAAACTGTAAAATTTGGAACAGAAATATTTAGAATGTTATTTAAACAATCCAGTCAGCCTATATTTTAAAACTCTAAATAATTCCTATTTCGGATGAAAAACAGAACGAAAGTAAATATGTCGCAGCCTTTTTCCCATGTACAGCATGCGAATGATTATCCAATAGATCCATATTCATACAACATGATTTATATACTAATGATGCCATTCTTCGCCCATGAATAAAACATCATTTGAATACAAAATCTATGATAACAACGGTGCCCTGGTATATTTGTGGGTGTCACATGTCAGTAATAACATTGGTGTTGTTAACTATCAGAAAACAGAGAAAAATAATGTAATATAAGTAGAACTATCATCACTGTGAATGGTTGTGAACGGTATTTTATAGATAAAAGGGTCTGCATGTCTACAATATGTTGCATTTACGATCATAATCAGAGAAAAAATAGAGTTTTACATTCATGAATAAAGCATCAGATGATACACAAGGCAAGTAACTATTGTCCACAAATTAAATGTGTGTATTTTTACCTTGATATTTAACCAATAACTAACCAAACTGGATTTGTTTCCATTTTTGTTCAGAACAACTGTACAAACAGCCTAGAAACAGGTTACATTATGTATCCTATGCTCTAGGTAGGATGTATATATTGTACATATATCCTTATACACTATATATATATGTACGATATGCATTGTCCCTAGCGTCAAAGTCGCCGGTCTTGATTCAGCTGGAGGCAAGTTAGCTCAGCCTAAGTGTATATATCTGACTGAAAAGTCTGGAGTCGCTGGTTTGATTCCGAATAAAAGCATGTATTCTTTCTACTACTGCCTCCTACCTATTACAGTACTACTGTACATTCTACTAAAGTTCATAAACAATGTAGGCAGAATTGAAAATAATCAGCCTTATTTTCACACAAACAGTTCATTAATGCCTTTTTTTAAACTTTTGTTTTGTTTTTGTCATCACTACCTTGATGTTCCCGAGTGATGTTCATTAAAACAACTTCATTCAATAAGCTAATCAATTAAGTTATACACGTTTGTGTATAAGCATACAAGTTATAATCCTACATCTACAGTTAAGCACATGTGTTATGTTTCAAATATTTGTGAAGGGCTCACATGCCTTACATACTGTACACAAGATCAGTGGCCTTGAACCCAAAATTTGCCAAGTATATGTTCTGTTGCTGACCCCAGGCCAGTTAGACTTTTACACTACACATATATCTATGCATAATCTGACCACAGTTTCCTAAATACACCTGCGTGACGCACAGTCTGACACTGTGCCAACACTGTGTCAGTGTGGGCACACCGTCCCCATATATTGGTGTATTAACAGGTGATCTAATAAAGATGTGGGTTCACGCCTCAGCGAACATGCAGGAAAGTTCCCGTCTAACTCTCCTACTCACCTCATTCCAAGTCGGGTTCAACTCTGACTTGACAACCTCAGTCTTCTTTGATAACCCTGTAGACAAAATATAAAATAATGACAACAAGGCAACGCAGATTTCATTAATTGTTCTTTGCATGAAAATACAACCCGACTTTTTACATACATGTACCAGTCGACGGTTAAACTCGTCTGCACGGTTGAGAGAGTTTTGGGAATGGACAGTCGAACTTACCTTTATATTCGATAGTTGCATATGGGTCGCTTTCTCCAAATTTCTCCACATTGGGGACATTGGTAGCCCCAATAACCAACACATGGAGCGACATGTCGAATGTCTGTTTGTCAAATTATCTCATTATTTTCTAAATATGCTGTTTTACTCCAGAGGTAACACAACAAACCGGCACACCCTCTCCACCGAACACCGTACGTTCGTGTGATGTCGTACGTTATCTGATATCTCTGTGAAAATGAAAGCCCATGAGAGTTTCCGAATGAAAGCGGGCACCTTGGTCAAAGGGAGATTACTCATATTGCAGACGACGTGAGTCACAACTATGACATTGACATATCATATCCGTAAAATAAATAACGTAGACATACGAGCTTACTAATATAGGCTAGACATCATCAGATTATTTTGCTGAATGTTCTGGATTGAAACTAAACTTAGGGAAAAAACATGTAGTTTGGGCTAGGGGCAAAGCGGGGATGTGGGGGAGAATACTTGTAAGAAAAGATTATTTTTTGGAATCACAGAGGAAAATTTAAGCTCCTTGGGATCACGTATGATTTGAACCAGGAGGATGTAACATTGCAAAACTTTGAAGAAAAATTTGAATATGTTAAAAAACTATTAAATGACTGGTCTTTTATAAATCTTAGTTACATAGGGAAAGTAACGGTGATCAAGACACTGGCACTCCCAATATTCACACATCTTTTTACAGTACTTCCAGACCCATTGATATGCTTCTGAAATGTTCATTAACAGCCACCAAAAGCTAATATTTTATTATGTTCAGGAAAAATTGACAAGATTAAAAGGAATGTAATAATAAACTCATACGAGAATGGAGGCCTTAGACTCATGTGAAATCATACTACCAAGCGCTAAAATGACATGGATAAAAAAATACTAGACCCCAACAACAATTCTCCTTGGAAAAAATTAATTTCTGATAAACTTCAAAAATTTGGGGGTGAGTCAATTTGGTACATGAATAGCGAAGGCCTAAACAACATAGCAGATCACTTCAATCTTTTCTGGAGTAATATAATTAAAATATGGGCTTCTATAGAGCGTGCTCCACCCACGACCCCGGCGGAAATACTATCACAACCAATATGGTTTAACAATAAAATTAAGATAAACAAACAGTATGTACTGTATCAAAAGTGGATAGAAAATAATATATATTCTTCATTAATGACTAAGTTAATGACAGGGGTGAATTTATTGATGTGAATCAATTTAAACTTCAATATGATATCCAAATTAACTTCGTTGAGTACTGTGGTTTACTGGCATCTATCCTAAATTCATGGAAAAATGCGATTAAAACATACAAGAAAAATATCGATGTACCAGAAAACAAATATATACAAATACTAAAAGGGGAAGAAATGATAACTAGAGACTTTTATGCAGTATTGGTCAATCAGTATCAAGATCTCCCTATTTCATCTATTCAAAAATGGCAAGAAAAAATGGGATTGGATATAACAAATGACAGTTGGAAGATGTACTTCAAACTACCCTTCAATATAACAGATGACACAACATTACAAACTGTCGACTAATTTAAATTGCTACATGGAATACTTTATACAAACTCTAGACTAATGAAAATGAACATTACAGAAACAGAAATTTGTAATATGTGTACGGTAAATAGAGAAACGCTAACGCATTTATTTTGGGATTGTCCTCATACACGTGCGTTATGGTCATTTTTAAGACAGCAATTTGTAACTAATTGTAATATAGATTTTCCATGGTCAAATATTTCCTTTATATGCGGAATAGATGACGCTCCTGAAAATATAAGTGTGAATATGTGTATCATCATCATAAAGAAATATATTTACTCATGCAGAAACAAACATACAATGCCAACTATTGGCGGGGTCCGTTTTGCAATATCATACTATAAGCTAATTGAAAATCAATGTATCCTGTCATATCCCCGAGCAAAAGCCGACCAAGTAGTAGCGAAGTAGGCCGTTATCAGCACAGCATTGAACATTGGTTAATTGAATTTAAATCCATATTTTGCTCTTTCTTGCTATCGATGTTTATCATATCTAGAATTATTTACTACCTAATAATAAGAACTCAAGCAGTTGTTATTGAACATGAAAAAGAAACAAAATGAAAAAAAAGTTAGAATTCATTAGTATTCGAGACAATGTGTAATACAATGTAATAATTGTCATGTACTCCACTGTGTACTAACATGAGAACAATCAAAAATGAAATATGATAAACAAATGTATAGGCTAGACAGGATAGAAATAAATCACCATTCGAAAAATCTCTGTTTACTGCGTAACATTATGTGTCTAACTTCTCGAAATAGATTTAATACGTACTGCTTAAATGTGTGTGTACGTGTGTGTGTGTGTGGTGGTGGGGGTGGGGGGNTGCAAATGAAGATCGTTTTAATTTTAAACGGAAATTGATATCTAACACCAGAACATCTACGATTGTTAATGATCTAATATTGATTATAGTCATCTAATCACTCACAGCTGTTACAGGAAACGTTCCTTTTCGTTAAAGACCCGGGCCTGTATCCATATAACAGGACAAAGGGCTTGCAGATTGAAAAAGCTGCCTAAGTGTGTACTTTTTATTGTCCATGTCAATATTTGTATTTTTGTAATGGAAATACAACAAAGTTTGTTTATTATTATTTCTATTACCCAAGATTTAAATCCATTTTGGCCGTCAATATAATTTCGTCATTTTCCGCATTGAATAAGAAGCTGGTGGTTTTATTTGCATAAAAAGTATCTTTCTTTGTCAGGTCCAAGTTATGTTCATAATCGTTTTTTAATATACTATACATACTTCAATGGATGATGTGTATAAAGAAAGATAAGCTGTATATGGATACCATTGGAGAGTTCATGGAGAATAAGATCTGTGACCGTATTCATAAAACCGTTTTCCTGTTCAAAACCAGATTCTGTGCTCAAGCCCAATTTCTTGTGCCAGTGATAAATTAATAAAAACAAATCATTTTGTTAATGTTAGGAAAGAAATTTGGAAAGACTTTAAACCGAATACTGTTTGCAATGTTTTCACTTGACTTTTTTACCATATTACTTAATTTAAGGGAGGTACAAGAAGGTTGGCTTGAGCACAGAATCTATTCTTGAGCATGAAAACAGTTTCACGAATACGGGCCCAGGTGTTCCGGAAGGATACCCGCATTGTAAATCTACATCGAATCAACGTAATGATACGTCCCCAAAGTGAAGTCCGGAGTAGATACAAGCAAACAAGAAGGCACATAAATGTGAGGTCCGGAGTAGATACAATCAAACAACAAGGCACATTAATGGCAACAATCAAATCGACCGTCATATTGCACAAGGAAACATAATAGCATTTCTAAATGAAATCGTCACGGATGACTGTTTATTAAGGGAGTCATCTTCTTTTGTATATGAGGGAATTATTAATCCAAAACTGGTATCAGGTGATTAATTAAAAAAAAGTACAGCCGTCTGTATTACTATATGGTTAATAGAAACGGTACCTTCTTTATTTACAGTAAGTTTCAAATATTCATTCGCCAAACATTCAGGTATGATGATAATTCTGACCTTTAGAACTTAAACAATTCATTAACATGTAGATTACATATCTTCGGACCCCCGTTGCAGGTTGATGAAGACTTTGGTAAAGCAGTTTTATGGTCGTCATCATAATCTCAGTGGGAAATATGATGTTTCTATGTGTGATATGAAGATTGAAGTGATTAAATATGCCACTCAGTGTGTCTTGTTCCGTTTTAAATTCTCTGGTTATCGTTTTGAGGATGTGGCATTACTTTGGTTTGACCTAGATTTGCATTTCGGTTGTCGTCGGTTACGCAGGAGATGCTTACCCTTCCGGAACACTTGGTCTCATTCTCCTTACGTTTTTCCCCAAGGGTTTTTATAATCGATTTTGAGTTAGAATTACGGTTTTTGACACTTTTGTATGTTCCTCTTTTTTCTGAACATTAAGCATATGTTTTTAAAATTGTAAAAGCAGCTTTTCAATAGCGGATACATTTTCAAAGTCTTGTAGAACCCGAGAAACATCTTAATTGAAGATCTATAGGAGGCATAATATCCCATTTCTTTCTTATGGACAGCAAATAAAACCTTCTGTGGCTGTTCTTAAAAATTTGAACAATCTATGGGGATTTATTAGAACCTCCAAATGGAAGAAAAACATACTGTTGATTTCAGTGATAAGATATTTTCATCAGATATTCCGTTCAAATAGATGTTTATTAATAACATAAAAACCTTGCCACGACAGGATAAAAAAACCGAATGCTCTGTAATTGAGAAAGTGCACTTGGATCGCTTTAGTTCTTACCAATCAATTAACTAATTTCGAATTCAGTAATTCCCCTGTTTAAAAGTGCATGGAAGCTTCCGTCAGTATCGAACTTTTCAATTTTCTTTCATCAGATTATGTCCCTTGTTAGGATTTAAAAAACTGGTTTAATAATTTGTTTATGATTATGTCTTTTTCGGGCTTACAGGTCCCATCAGTTTTATTCAGACTATTACAATTGAGATTAATTCGACAGTGAACAGTAGACATAAGCAACTTCAAAACAAATAACAGTATAAAAGATATCTGATGAAAGTAACCGATGATTAACAGCACTTCAAGAATCTTTACCGTCTTACCAACTTATTTCCGATCAAATTGTTGACAACATGTAGAATGTTTTCTTTACAAACTCCTGTACTGTATTACAATAACATGGAGTGTCTTGACTTTCACAGGTTTACGGGTTTTAAAGAATGGCCAAGACGATATATTTTTGTAAGTTGTATACTCAAGATTATTACTGTTCCTATCTCTCAGTGCCTACTACTACGTTATACATGTATATACTTACCTTTACTTTTAGTCTTGAATTCAATCATTCGAATCAACAAGATATGCAAATAAGCAATACAAATTTGGAGAAAAGTCTTGAAGAATATGTAAATTACTGAAAATGACACAAAGAAATACTTAAATTTAACTCTCTCTCTATATATATATATAAACTTTATTTATTTTGCAACAATTATGAAACAAGATAATTCAACTTTTATTAATCACTCTTGTTAGCCCGGGGGTCTTTATGTGGGAGGAAACTGGAGTCTATGGAGAAAACCCACGTCCGATCGGGGAATCGAACCCTGGTCGCCTTGGTAAAAGGGGAGTGCGTTATCTATTGCGCCACCCGACCACCCTTACGAAATACTAAAGACAACACAAATAAATAACACTGAAAACAAAGCATAGCAGACGATACGAATACCCTCACACTTCAAAGTCATAGGAATTGCGGAGTTTTTTGACTGCACGAAGGTCGAAATGCAAACTTGTTGGCGACATGATGTTTTGAACATGTGTGTAAAGTTTCGTAAAAATGGGAAAAGTGATGAAGTCTGTATGTAGAGCTCATATAAAACTCTATTTATTGATACAGTGACATAGTGTTTGACCGCAGAAAGTCGAAATGCATGTCTGTAGAGTGATGACCTCGTATGAGACACATATATTATATACTAGTATATATATGTACACCGTACGGGCAGATCTATACGTAACCAGAAAAAACAAAAGATAAGACAAAGAAATACCAAAGCTTCACAAAGAATTATTAAAGAAGCACATTGAAATGCTACAGGAAACACGAAATGCTAAAGGTAACTTAGAAACACTGGAGATATAGTTGAACAATATTGACAACATTTACTGTATGTGTACTATTACAAGTGCGTCATATTTTAAATTTAATTTCCTGTTTGATAAGATAAACGTGTACGAGTGAACGGAAGTATTTACTTCGTTATAAGAAAGTGTGAACACTCGCAGATGTCTAAAGCGGCAATTTACACGAGTATATATCCGGTAATTGTTCATAAAACTGCTTGTTGTTTTCTGATAAGGAAAATTCATATTGCAACCACCCTATTTATTTTACTTACATTCATCAGAAATAGGTCCTATAAAACAAAATTTAACAAATGAGATATAATTTCAAGTCTCTGATATAAATTCCCGTGTTTATGATCATTACGTCTGCAAATTGGGCTGTAAAAGAATTCGTCCCGATACATAAAAAACAAGAATTGTTCAGGAAAGATCAGTCGAAGTGGCTATGGACACAAGTCAAACAGAACACAGCGTCTAAACATTTCTGTTTACATTCCAAACTTAGTCAATCAAAATGCTTGCAGATGTTTGTTTATGGTGAATCATCAAAATTTGTGTCAGTGGTTTTATAACATCAAAACTTTACATTTTTTTTTATTTAGATCATTATACGGAGGGGCAAAATTAGCACAGTACTCATACAAGTCTGCTTCTGACAGTTTTGATGTACACATTTCTTGTTCACGCTTGCTTCATTGATCAAGATCTCCCCTCCCATAATTTAGGTGTAATTTATTTTATTTTTCGACAAAGAGAAATAAAGGAACACAATGTGTACATACACTTTTACTCTCCAGTCTTAACACCAAACATACACCCTTTCAAAACTTTTTTGCAATTGCTCACAATCTGAAATATCTTTAACAGTCTAACAGTCTAATAACATGCTATCATCAGCAAACAGCGACAAGTTTAAAATTGGATGGCAGATCGTTAATTAAAAGAACAAATAATTCTGGTCCTAAACTAAAAATTGTGGAACGCCGGAAGGTACATCGCACCAACCGGAAGTTGCACCGTTTATCACAACACATTATTATCTATTACATGGGTAGGTGTTGAACTTATCAAAAACATAACCGTTAATCCCATTTGATTTAAATTCATGGGATAGTAATGTATGTCTAAACTTGTCAAATGCACTAGAAAATTCAGTATATATGGCATGAACTTCATTATTGTTGTCGAAAACCATTGTTCATTACAGATGACCGCGACAATGTAACAGAGGAAATAATTATTTCACTGCTTCCGCTAGGAATTGAAGTCAGAACGTTCAGTTTCTTGGTCTGATGCTCTACCGAATGAGCTTAAGTGAGACTCTCCCAAACACGTCTTACCAGACATAGAAAAATTGCTAACGGACAAGATATAACAGCAGTGTCATTATTTCTCCATTTTCCTCATTTTTTTTCTTCCTTTATGAATCTTATCTGACATATACATAGACCTAGATCAGTGTGACAGCAGATATGCATCATAATGGTGATTACGCAGCAAGCGACATTTGACGCCACAGGACAGCTGCATTTTTTACAGTTGAACGTTGCTTAAAGGATGGTCATCGTTCCTGAAGTGTTGCGTGTATGAACACGTCGGATGCTTTTTCTGAAAACATTGCTGCAATATGCCTTCAGCCCACCTTGTCCGGGTGTCGTTTAAACAGCCAAGTCACCATGCAACAAACAGCCTGAAACTGTCGTAGGTCACCATCAGCCGTAGACACTCTCGTTTTATCTTGTCACGATCTAGTGTTTTTAATGGTATCATAGCGTAAATAGAAGATTGTTAAACATTCTACATAGGATGTTTTGAGTCATTTAAATACTGTTATTCATTTAAGCTTCTTTTATAAGGGTCTGACGATCTGTTAGGGATTTTCATAATGTATCTCGTCGTGAGTGTGTGCTCCAACGAACGTACATATTGAATCGCACAATTGTTTCTTTATTAAACTCATCATTGGCGGTGTGATGAGATACTTCTAGAGAAGACTGTTGTTGATCTGATAAGTATCTTTTAAATGTTACAATGAGTGACAATCCTTAACAAATTGCTCAAATTGACGACAACTCGGAAAACCTCTCATTGTTTCTGACCTGTTATCTATCATACTTTACATGATAAGGAAATTAAAAAAGGGTCAGTATACTGTCCGACACGGTACATGTTCAAGGAAGACACAAAATACTCATATGTCGGAGCGTGTTCAAGGCTCTTCAGCAATTAAACAAGTCAGTTCCTATTATATAACTTACAAGCACTCAATGTGTGTAAGTTGTCATACTTTTCCTTCCAACCGGAATTGCGTTATAAAATTCGTTTCCGTACATCGGAAACACGTCATCTCGGCCTCAGGCACCTTACTTCCCTAGTTTCCAAAACAGTTGTGAAAGGCAAGCTGAAATTAAAATTTAACAAATGAATAATTAAATTCGAAACATCCTCCTCAAAATAACACGCTAATGCTAACAAATAACTCTGTCATGATGAATCAGTTTGAATAAAAACAAGCTTGCATCTTAGCCACTTTTGCCAGGTCATTTATGTTATAGTTCTAGTGAGAAGATGGGGTTCTGTTTCCAGAACTACTAAATGATGTCTTATTTTGAGTAAAGGCAACAAACATTAGCCATAGATTAAATTAAATTATCTAATACTTCATCATTATTTTCACTTTAAATACATATTGTTCCACCCGCCTCTGTAAATCTCCCCTTGTGACCACACTGATTTCTTACGAATATGACATAATATGTAATAATGTGTAACATGATAACAAAACAATATGGAAGATCACACCAAGAGAACAGCTTCCCTAGAAACAGCAGTTTTGAAAAGAAGTGCATGCAGGACAAGGTTCTTAACTCAGAAGAGAATTGAACTAAAAGATATCTAGTCATACAGAAATCTAAATTATCACCTAATCCAGGTTACTTACCATGTCAATATAGCCGACAAACCCCGCTGCTGTCGACGACTCCTTCCCGATCTCCATAGGACACGGGGACGATTTTATGGTAGAAGCTGTTGAGAATAAAGAATATATGTGATCACATGGTGTCTGTCCAAAGTGGCTAAATGAATTACCGTAAGATTCAGGGTTGTATTGGGCTATAATAATAATTCGAGGTTCTTATATACCACTTTATCACAACCTAGTTTGTAAGTCGTCTCAGAACGGTTCACACATTATTATCCGTGGTTATAGGGCCTTTGCAACCAGCAAATATCTTTCTTAACTCCATAGGGAGCATACAGCCGGTGCTGCCTTTTCGGCGCTCACAGATGGCATACAACAATTCTAGCACTGCCCAACCACTTACTCATTTACAACTGAGTAGACTGGAACAAGCGGAGTAAAGTTTCTTGTTCAAAGATACAACCGCAACCCTTCGGTCACGAGCACGGCGTCCTACCACTAGACTACCGTGCCTCCATGTTATGTTTTATTCAATAACGTAGAATAACAACAATCCAAGCTATAAATATCTACACGTATTTACCTCCAATGTAATCCCTACGTTCCCTGTGGTCAATGACGAGACGGACCTGTCCTCGCATGGCCTCCAGCTCCACCACCGTCCAGTCGTCCAGTCTCTGTAACAAATGATAGTTAAGCGCTCAGCGCCATCGCTCTCACTGATAGTCTAATACCATTTTCTCGTCGCATGTCAGGTTGCGCAATTAAGGTCAAATGCCAGCAATTAGATAAAAATTACTATCCTCATTTCCTACGATGCTTAACAAATCGGCCAATCAGCAATATAAGGGTGGTGAAGGAAACATATATATCCCAGTTACACATCCTCGATATCCAGGTGTAGCGCTTACTTTCGCTCTCTGCACCCCTGGAATATGTCATAGCAAAATTGAAGGCACGAAGATAGCCGTTTGATTGGTCTAAGGTAAAAAAAAAAAAGACCAATCGCTATGCTGATACCTGTCATTTGAAGATCACAAAGGAGAGACGCACGACTTCAAAGTCTGTCAATTTTTACCGTTACGTGACCGCGAGATTCTTTTAATGTATATGATGTATATCAAAGTATCGAATTACTCTTCTTGTCTCATTAACAAGATGGCACTCACTGAGCCTTCAATTTTGTTTTGACATATTCCAGGGGTGCAAAGGGGAAAGTGAGCGTAACCCATGGATATCGAGGATGCAGCTAATGCTGAACTAGAAAAGAACATCGGTTTCTTTAATTTCGAGTACCGGACGTCGCATAGAAAACAACCCTGATTCTTCAATGAACCAGATCAGATGCGTTAAACACATTTGCAGGGGATCAGTATCTAATATAATGTCTCACAAATGGCGGATAAGGAAATTTGAGTAAGAGATGATACATACCACATCTGACAAGACAAGATTGACCATGGCACGGTTCCTTAGAGTTACATCAGCATGTACCTCACGTTTAACGGGGTTCACACTGATTCTATATTTAGAAGTATAATTTCCACAAGGTCCATCTCCAAACAAGTTGTAAAGTTGGTCCTGGTACTCAAAGTTCTCGTGTAACTTAAATCGAAGCATAAATTTAAATCGATGAGCAAATGTTATGTAGCTCATCGTCCATATCGTTAAGAATCCATCTCTCCCTAGTAACAATGATGTCTCCCCTACACTTCCGGCTAGTCGAACAAACCGGACGGAATTTGTGGCAAGAGATGGCACAGAGCGATCGTCCGACATGGTCGTCCGATTGTAAATAAACCGGAAAGAAGGTCCACAGAAATCGCCAAATTGCCCGTCATCTTGGGAGGGAACTGGTACTCCTTGGATTCCTTAAAGAGAAAACAAAGTACAGAATAATAGTAACATATCATGGCATTTTCTTCTCATTCTAAACACAACAAATGTATATAGGATCATATAGCACATCCGGTGAAACGTTATGTATGCCGTTTCGATGACAGAAGTACCATATGTGCTTTTAAATCTTTATCAGGCAAACGAGCAGTTAAGCACTTTGGTGTTTAAGCTATAAAAGATGTCAACCGAATTGACAAGTCAGTTAGGCTAGGTTTTTTTTAGTTTCTGGTCATGGATTTGCAATAGTATATGGGCCTCTCTTTTTGTATACAGAACTTAACAACTTCGATGTATCCGACTGGCTACCTGGCTCTGCTCCGTTCACAAGTTCCTCTCGTTGCCTCTATCTACCACTTTGGCATTATTCTGCTGTATGGGATAATGTCTGTGATTGCCTATTTTTTCAGGGACACCAAATACGAATATCTGTTTCCCAAGGCTGAGAATATCCGTTAAATATAATGTTTAGACAGACCCAAAAACAGTGAACCCGTTAAGGCCTTATGCTGAGTACACCGGCCTCTTTGGTTACACTGTTTTAATGTCTCTAGCATACACTAGGACATTGTATGTAGATCAGAATACCATGTCAAGAACTTGAGAAGTCTGGTGGAAATTATGTCCGCCATCATGGTTCACAAAGACGAGGAATATTACACAGAAACAGCATCAAGTTCAAACATGAGTAAGAAATCAACGACCCATGCCCGTCTTTGCATACCTCTTGCGAAGAAAGATGTCATTGGTTTGTAGGAACAATTAGCAAACAGACCGTTACTGAATTTCGAATCTGATCACCGTCTGTACCAGAGGTCGGGTGTTGTACGTACTATACTAAACTGATGTGATGCAACTGTCAACGGAAAAGCAAGACAAAAACCTAGGAGAACGCCCTTAGTAACACAGACATATTGATAACCGGAAAGAGATGTCAACAAAGTACACAAACCGTTTGAAAGAAAAAGGAAGAACAAGAAATGAAAGTCGGATGGCTATCCTTTGTATGAAGGGATTATCCCAAGCCTTACTTCGGATATATCGCAATCACGACAGACATAGCAACAGCAAAGAAACCCAACAAGACTCTCCTTTACATCCCAGCTAACCCTGAAGATAAAACATCTACAAAAATGTCGCTAAATGCCTGTTAAAAATTGAATCATGTTAGTGACAGTTGCAAACATTACATCTATTTCCTAAACAGAATAAACCAGTACGTAACTATTAAAGCCTGAAAGAAAATTTTGTTCGCTGAGGTTTCCTGTTACAACAATGGATTAATGTATTTAAGCTTTTTGATCAACTAACAAACCTACAATAGCACGCTGACAAACCAGTACTTGTATTACCTGTTGATGTAACAGCTGTAGTAGTTGTCCTATGGGTTGTGGTGAGGACCTCGGGGACGGGAAAGGTCTCTACGCAACCGCAGGCGGGGATGGAGAACAAGGTACCGGAAGTGCAGCGCCTCAGCAAGAAGAACCCCCCGACCTGTTCTATATACAGCTCGGGCACAAGTAACGCCTCCTTGACACACACTGTGATCAAATAACATTTTAATTAATTACTGGGTGTCAACATGTGTAGGTTAGAATGATGGAAGATCTTGGTTACCATCGAGAATAGCGAAACTATAAATACTTATTAACATTTAAGCTGTTAGAATTCGAGGGGTAACCACTGGGATACACGTTCGATTTGAGTAGTTGTTGCTTTGATGTTAGGATTTGAGGACACAGTGCGACATTTTCTCACAAACTCAACACTATTATAAACGTTTTAGTTTGATTTGTAGTCAGTTTTCAATTATAACCCGATATATGGATTGGTACGTAGTGTACATTTCTAGTGTAGAAATATGTGATATATGCTGGGCTAGTTGTTTATGTACCGCTGTAACAAAGATATCAACACACCTTCGATTTGTCGAGCGGGAACCCAACTCCGTATGACAGTGATAGCTTCTGTCGTCTGTCTTAGAGTCAGCAGCAGGACCAACAAAAGTGGCGGGTAAAACGTCATCGAGATGAGAAGATACCTGCAGGGAATACATTAAAGACATTTTTCATTCTGAATTAAACCCATGCTTCTATAAATTGGAGTCGGGGTATTGATGATGCTATTGTGTAAAACGTGATTCTTGTAGAGGCTTATCGAGCAGAATAAAAAATCAGTTTCCAATTTCAATTGATTATGTCGAAGGAGTAATAAAACATAAGCCATCAAAAAGGTAATGCCTTAATTATGATCACAAACTTCTTCAGGTCTGTAATTTACCGGTCATTGAGTGTAAACAATGAATGATACTTTCAAATCTGTATTGACCATTGACTGATGAACAAAACAACGTCATATTGTAATTGATTTTAATGTACAGAATACAGGTAGTAAGTTTAATGGCCTGTCTCAACAAAACACATAAAGCAGTCAATGTTAATGGAATATCGGTGAAGGTGATTGGACAGTGGTGCCATATACATTCTACCTGACCAGTTGATGACCACCTTTTTATAATTGACCATACAATCTGAGACCGCTGTCCTTGCGTAACCACTGTTTGACCACGTGGTCATTGGACTGTGACAGATGATTAATATTGATTTGACAATCAGTCATTGTTACTGAAAGCCTGTTCAGCTTAACGAATCGTAAGCAGAATTATTAGAATGCCATTTTGGGAATAATCTTAATTAAAACGTATTTATGTGTTTTTTTTTTTCTATAAGTGAAAATTATTAGTTCCATAAATACGGTTTAAGCTTTGTAGTTCATTAATTTTAACATAATCTAAATAGAAATATTCCATGAAAGTGTCATTAAGTTAGTTAACTACAGTCACATCAAAATTGCAAAATTTCATGAAAAATATCTTATGTAATATTCTGCATAAACAGAATGTGTCTATTACGTTTCACATACTATATAATTATCGTTGTACGATAGTCCAGGAACATTTTAGAGCTTGGCCGAATATCTATTTGAATAAATGTGTCTATTTAGTATTGGTTATAACTAATTCATAATGACGTTTGACATCTATTTCCTGCTTGCTTGAAACTCCGTTTTAAAGCCAAGAATAACTTGTGTAAATGTACTCGAGGTTTGTTGTAAGGTGAAGGACATTCTCCTTTTTTGTTGTAAATGTTTGTGAATTGTGGTTACCGTGTGACTCGATGACGCTGATGATGGAGGGAGATTAGGGATGAAGATGAGAGAGGGGATAGTACACGGACTATTTTCAAACTGAATATGAATGTTTCTTTCTGAGAGTGTGATAGACAGTCTGATCATTGATACATTTGTGAAAATATAATGATTTCATGAAAGCAGTAGTATAAACAGTACAATGTATCATATTTTCGCCAAACACAGTAGAATACATCAAATTACACGAAAAATAGAGGATTCAAAAAGAAGCTGAATTTTATATCATTCGTCTTCACGCGCTTAGGCATACAGGTCCCGCTTGTATAAAACATGTCAATTCCAGAGATTTCCTCAAGACTACCGTAGACAATACATTATTTGAGATTTTTCTCAACTTTGAGATGTTTTATACAAGTGGTCCCAGTTACTTTAAACGCAAGACAAGCACCAAATTTACAACGTAGTCAAAGAAGAAATGCTTGTATTAAATAATAAAGGAAACGTTAGTACGCAACTAAAATGTTTTGTGAATTACAAAAACAGTTAATTTGACATAGTTTGAAAAGAACAGTAGAATAAAAAGAATATATATATATAAATGTAAAAAGCGAATGAAACAATGTTACTTACCCCTCACGGACAGTTATAATTAATTCCAGATATACTTATGTATTACAAGAAATATTAAATATTAGTCTTCTGAAAAAGCTGTCTCGCTAACAGGCGCCGCTGTCCAAGCAGAGACATACTATACTATCAATGTATATGATATGTTGAACAAACACAAACACGACTTATGTTTATTTGATATCTCTGCTTTATTGATTGTTATGTCGCTGTTGTATCGTCACGGTCGATTATACCGTGTTCAGTGGGCTTGACCGGTCGTGACCATGAAAATTAACGGCCAAAACAGAACACGACATCAGGCATAATGGGGGTTCCTTTATATGTGTTTTACGGGAAACTGACAAATTGAGGAAAATATATATTTTTTATTCCCGTAATAAAATTGAGTATATTGGTATATATTTTGAATAAACGCAAATGTTTGAAGAACACATTTCATTCCATATTTGTAGTTTGTTAGAACGTGAGTATTTAACGCTTTTCTCCAACCTACTGTAGCGAATCCCCTTATGGTGCCCCAAATGAGGACATCCTTAATTGGAGCTAAACTGTAGTTAACGACCATACGGATATGTTATAGCAGGTGATGGCCCATGTAAACCAGACTACAACACTACAGCAGAATGTCTTACAAGGTCACCTGGAAGACCGGGAGTTCATACCGGGACACGGGACATAATTGTTTCCTTTGGGTCACAAGTGAAGCCTGGGTTCAAATCGGGTGACGGGACATCCCCTGGTCACACGTAATGCCGGGAGTTTAGATCAGGGGACGGGATAGTGCCACAAGTAAGGCATGTACTATCAGATCGGGCAAACGACATAAATGTTTCACAGAGCCACAAGCAAGGCTCGGTGTTCAGACCGGAATATCAAATGAGAGCTAAAAATGTGAAATCTATATTAAATATCAAAATGTGGAATCCATATAAAATATCAAGTGGAATCCATGTTCAATACGCGTTAAGACAAAATATACTTGAAAACAAGACACGGATATCACCATGGAGTGATATTGATAAAGGGAATAAATTTTACATCATCGTTACAATGAATGTACAACCAGTAAGTGTTATTGTAAAGTTACCTTCTATACCGTATTGAAGACATAATAATGATTAAAAGGGTAAAAAAAGACAATATAAAGAATTCATGTTCGAAGGCCCGTAACGTATTTCGAAATAACATATTATCTAAAGCTCTTTAAGCATACCAATCAAAAATCAAGATTGATGTGACCATGTACCCCCCCCCCCCCCNAATACCCTATTAATATATTATAGGAGAATGTAAACAAGACAACAAATTGATTGGATTGAAAAAAAAATATAGTTAAATGTTATAAACTTTGTCAGTGAAAAGTTCTGTAATGTTTTAACATGTCCAGTTTTTTTTATATCAACATTTCATGTTACGAAATGACATTTTATAACGTAAATTATTCATCACTGTCAAATCGTCCTTGTTTTTACAATTCTATACCGGTAAAATATCTTACTCTGATTTTTGTGGTTTAATCAAGCTACATCCATCTTTGTTTGAAGCTGTTAGGTACACGTCGCTGTGTTAAATTTTAAATACGTATATGCAACTTCCATATATAAAAACAACAACACATAAAACATCGATTACGATGTTAGTTGGTGTCTTTAAATATGACTTATCAGGGGGTTGTAATTTTGGGTGACTATACAATCTTTTAGGGGACTTGCTGAATCTTAACTTATAATATTGAAATTGGTGTATGGGCGTTTACCAAAAACTACAGAGCACAAAAACTAGAATTGTTTCGAAAAGTCGGGTTTTTTTAAAAACATTTTTAAACACCTTTCAACAGAATACACTTTCTAACAACTAACACACAAGAAACCGTTAACATGTTTCTGTTTATTAACTCTTGTAGCAACATTTGACAAACAGTAATACATTTGGCGCATCAGGGGCTACTCACTCCAACAATTTTACTTCCATATATCTGTATTAAACTTGCATTTATGCTAATATTTTTGAATAAGCTAGACTCCAGGGGTATTGAGAGAAGCAGCTAGACTCTGAAAATGTCTTCAGAGAAGCACCTTCACAGCCCAGAGAAGTGAGCAGCTAGACTCTGAAAATGTCTTCAGAGAAGCTAATATAAAACTATGTTGAGATTCGACACCCCTAGAGAAGCCATGATGAGAGCAGCTAGACTCATGTGATACAAGAGAAGCCGCATCCCCACACTAATATAAAACTATGTTGAGATTGGGGGTAAATTCCCCTAGAACTTAAAGCCAAAATACACAGGGGTGAAAGCCCCCAATACGAGGTAGGTTTTTAAATATTAAAATAGTGCATATTATATATAATACATTTCAAAGCATTGTGACGCCAAGAACACAAATCTAGGACTAGACATGGCCTAAGAGGACATGTGGCTCTGGGCAGAGCGAATAGTGGATGGGTCAATGCGGATGTATCGCATAAAACAATCAGATGACCATCTGCCCAATGTTTGAATGACACAGTCCTCCGCACCTGCTGCAGCTGCAGATGTTGCAGCACATTTGCGAAAGGAGAGCCACTAAAAGCTTGAGAACTAAGACCACAAACTGATAAAGTTTTGTTGAGAAAATTTAAAAACGGTTGACGCATTAAAGGCTTAGTGAAATCAAGTGTTTCAACAAATAAAGGAGAACTGGGTATTGCACATTGGGAACCCCTATGTTGTATGTAAGTATGCATTGTACTGACTGGAGACAAAGCACTGTTTTCAAACACTTTGACTGCGACACCTTTTCTGAAAGGGTCTGTCTTAGAAGCTCTCTATTACAAATTGAAACAAGACTTGTCAGGGTATACAAAAATATCACAAATACGAATATAATTGTTGTCGGACAGAGCTTGGCAAGTAAACTCGCCACAACCCAAGAAACCATAAAAGCTGTCTTGTATGCACATGTTAGTATAAAGCTAGTAAAAGAATCAAATAATCCTGTTTCACATGCAAGAACATCACACAATTTAAACAGCACATTGAATGTAATAGGAAGACGTAGAATGTAAGACAGTCTGAGCGTATCAGCAATTGGATCTCCTAGTTTGTGGCGTATGTAGTAGAAACGAACACCTGACAGTTCTTCGTCAACAGGTGGAAGAGAGTTTACCGGGAAAGTAATACCCATCATCATAAGCACAAATGTCAGGAAACAGTTCAAAGCTGACTTATAGGTGGCTAAAGTTCTAGCACTAAGGTTTGCATTCCATAAACAGTCCACCTCGGGATTCAACTCATGAGGAGGGAAGACATGGGCAGACATGGCACCGGAAGGACATCTGCGTGTGGCGCCAACATCCGGAAACGCCCCATCTGGTAACGAGAAAGAGAATCAGCGATGTTATTGTCAACTCATGGTATGTGTTTAGCATGAATCACAAAGTTATCGATGGCTGAATGGTACGAAGTCTTCGCATAAGACTCATAATGCTTTTCACCTTTGATCTCCCTTTGGCAATTATTTCAACAACGGCTAACTTATCACAATGAAACAATATTCTTTTCTTGTGCCACTGATGCCCCCACAACACGCAAGCCATCACAATTGGGTAGAATTCCAAAAGGGCCATAGCAGTGTCTACTTCACTGAGCTCGGGTGGGAATGTCCCCTGAAACCATTTGTTCATGAAGAAACCTCCAAATCCTTTGGAGTAGCATCAGTGAACAAGGGATGGTCTGCCGCTGCGGTAATGTGATCATCTAGGAAAAAAGATACACCATTCCAATTCTATAAGAAAAGTGAAAACATAGTAATACATCTACAAGCATAATTCATATGTCCCAGTAAGCAGAGTAATTGCCTCTTGGTGCATGATTTCCTATTCACGTAATATTTGATGAGGTCTATTAGACGTAAAATATTCTCTGTTGGCAAACTGACTTCCATTCTTTCAGAGTCCAAATACACGCCCAAGTACTCTTATTTAGTCCACGGTCCTACAGTTTTATAAGCACCAATTGGAATGAGCAAATTACCAAAAATATACAGAAAACATGCCATGGAATCGGATGCATTAACCTGTGCAGGTTCCAACACGAGAAAGTCGTCTAGCAGATGAAGAATGTGTTTGCTATTGTAATTGTTTTCAGCGATCCAACACACGGCCCGCGACAAACAATCGAAGATCTTGGGGCTGGAGCGACTCCCAAATACTAACCGGGTAAAGAAATAGTATTTGTTACCCCACTTGATTCCATGAAAAGGCCATAAATCAGGTTTTATAGGTAACAACTTAAAGGCATCCGTTATGTCAGTTTTCATAAGTCAAACGTCTTTACTCAAACTTTTCAAGATGCGAATAGCGTCATCGATAGTAACATATTTCAGTGAACACGTATCCTTGTCGATAAGGCTGTTGAGGCTAGGGTTATCACCATCCTGATGTGGGGCTGACATATAAACTATGAGACGTTTCTTTTTGGAATATTTGTGTTCAACTAGTTCAATAGGATTAATTCTGTATCTATCGAATGGGATGCCGCCAAAAGGAACTATCATAAGCCTTTGTCTAGTTCTTTCCTTACTAGTTCTGAAACACTGTCTGAGTCTCCGGTAGCTGACCTCAGGTTCTTGCATTCTAAAGAATTATCAGGTATATTTAACATGCCTGTATCAAAACAATAAGCAAGTCCATTTAACAAATATTCTGCAAACTCTCTATCCGGATGAAATTGTAATTCTGATTTTAAATGTTGAACATTGATAGGAGTGCTGGTTGTCACATGTATCATTTCCTCTTGGTGGAGGGCTGAACCACTACTAAAGGGCACTTAGATTGAGGATGATTCCCCTTACAGGACAGACACAAATGCATGAAATAGCAAGGGGTTCTAATACACTCGAAACGAACATTGTTGTAATTGTTACAAAGTTCACGCCCTTCATTGAAGACACGGTGGCGACCCTGAGAGTCGACGTTGTCGGAGTTATGCGATCTAGAATTTTTGTTGTTTTACTTCCTGTCCAGAGGCTGGACATAATCCAATGGTATGGGGGGACTGTCACAGACACTACATGATGTTGGACGGATATTTGAAAATAATGTTGCAGAGCAGCGTGTTCTCTCGCACAGACCTATCGATTGGTCTGTTGTTGTACCTCAACTGTGCGCTGCCCTCAGGGAAAATTGACGGTGGTACTCGTAAAAACCTGACGAGTAACGAGTGCCCATGTCAACAATGTCTCTTTCCTATAAATCTAACTTCACACGCCGGGACGGATGCGCCTCGCACATGACATGTTTGTAGACACCGAATGCCAGAATGAGCTCACTTAAGGTTATAATTATATTTAGCCTGGGGTCTGCCTTGTCTGTTACACAACTTGGGTCGCTCTGACAACAATAGTAGGGGATGAGCAGCGCATCAAGATTAGCATCCCTACCTGTAATTATGCTTTGTCTTAAGGCAGGTGAAACTGTCTCCACTAAAGGCAGGGACTCGGCAGCATAACTATAATTTGTCCTTCTAGCGTTGTTGTGATCTAGCGATGTCGATTCTGTCCTGAAATTCTGATAGGCTGAATTAAGATTAAACACAGGAGTCGTAGGAACTGTATTTGAACTTCCCGCGCTGAAGACATCCACACTCGTGTCGATTTGCCGTTCACTCCCGGCCGCTGCTGCTACCTGTACCCCGTTGTTTGTAGCGGTCTCGACACGCCTGCTACCTGACAAAGGTGTCTGTGGACGTTCAACTAGGCGACTTTCAAGACGAAGATAAGACTCCTGGAGAGTTGCCTCGCTCTCTATCAGCGAACTGGTCATGTCTATTAGGTTCTGAGCATTGTCAGAGTTGTTGTTGCCGCTCTAGATCCAACTAAACCGTTGCATTATGGGATCGCGCACCTCCGACGTTTGGCCTAGCTTGCGCATCTCTCAAGAGTTTTACAATAATATTGCAATTGATTGATATAGATATATATGTATGTGGCTTGAAACATTTACAAATATATTTAACACGTATACATTTGCATGTAAACGTTACATCTTGCACCGTTCTATGATATTACTTCTCAGGGCAGCGGCCGGTATGGACAGCTTTCAAGCATGTGTAATAATCTTCATTTTGCCCTCTTGTAATCATAAATACCATTATAGTTTACGAAAATGTGAATAAGTACACATGCAACGAAACATGCAAGTCATGACACATGGTTTGACACATGCAAATTTTACATTTCCATATACGTGTATGCGTAATCGTAAGTTGACTAAGCGTCCAAACAACAAGTCTCCGAAAAAGATACAATGTTGTACACTGCTTTTGATTACAAGGACGACACCGACCTCAAACGTTCTATCAACCAATCGACGAGCCAGATACAGTGAGCGACACGCTGAACCAACCGTTCGGTTTGTAGGCGTGTTTCGTTTATACTTAGTTCCTTTACAACTCAAACCAAACCCTTATCAAATCAATGACTACCAACGATCGCCAACTCAGAGTTTTCAAAAAATATTTTCTTCGTGATTTTCCAAGTAAAATAATCAGAGACGATATATGCATTACCATTAAACAACCATGTAGTTGCCTCCAGGAAATCATACTATTTCCACAACTGGTGTTTTAATTCGTTATTCTACTCGCTCTTTTTTATAGATTCTTTAGTATTGGTCCAAGAATAAATTCTAGATAGGGACATTTATTGTATTGGTTATATTCTTTTTTTGTTGTTACTGTGTTCTTGTAATGTTTTGGTAATGCTTAACTGACATGACCTCATATGAGAGAGAATGCCTTTCTAAACACCTCTATCACACTTGTTCCTGTTGATAGGCGTTGTCAGGATTGAAGCAGAGGCACCTGTTCTGGTATCAGTCATTATTTTAATGATTTGAATATGAGGAAGTATCCTATTTGTAATGTGTAACTTCGTGGCATGGAAATGTGAATGATTAGTTGGATATTTGCCAGGGAGGGTAAGGTGTATGTTGAACATCCTTAAAGGGAGGAAAATGTCTCAACTACTCATCCCAGCGTGTGATTCAGATTTCATGTGGCTGTCTATGTCAGTACTCCATACGGTTAGTGTTCCATTGTATCTTCTTGGGTTGGAATCGTGAAGTGTATATGCATTGACACCGATGTTTGGTTGAATTCATCTTCAGTAAGTCTGGTCTGTGCCTGTACAGAAAGTATTTTGGGATTTTCTAAAGGTTGTGTCCATGGATGGAGTATAAGGTGGTTAGTGTTTCTCTTCCTGGTTGAATTAAAGCAAATTGACATTTGTCCTCCTATTTCCTGAAACTGTCGAAGTCCTCACGAGTGGAGATCGTTCTGTACAGTAGGCAGTCATCCGCAAACAGCCATTCAATGGACGTTATACTGGAAGGTAAATCGTTAAGAAAGACAAGAGGCCCAAGGGCCTTAGCGGTCACCTGAGTTATACCATAGGGACTGGTAGGTTTATTTTATTGTTTAGATGTGATGTGGAAATCAGCATGTAAACTAAGTGAAATACAATACTTGTCATGTCATCAAAGGAAAAGAATTTTAAAATATTGGTAAATGTTCCCTTTGGGGCCCCGCTCTAACCCCTTGGGATGGGGCAGGAATTCCAAGTTTACAATGTGATACCGTCGTCCACCAAAGAGGATTCTGACCAAGTAAAAATAATTTCCAACAGAAAATTGTCAAAATATACCCAAAAGTGTTGTTTCCCCATATAAACTATAGTAAACTTTACCCCCTCCCCAAGGGAGAACGGATAGCTCGGGGGTCCTGAAATTAACAATTTAAATAAAGTCCCTGATGATCTTTCCATCCATGCAGAGCAAATGACTGTAGTATAGGACTCTGGGTCTGGGGAAGAAGATTTTTGAAATATTGGTTAATTTTCCCTTTTGGGCCCCACCCTGGCCCCTAGGGTTGGGGTAGGAATCCCAATTTTACAATTTAAAACCATCTTCCTCCTCCAAAGATAATTCT